TCTGTTGTATTCCACCTAACGTTTCTTCTACTTTTTTTCTTTTATAAGCATTTTTACTAAAATGTTCTCATTTTCACTTAAGGCTATAGAATCTATTTCCGATACAAAATGCTTGCTTCCTTTAAGCCGTTCTACTCGTTTCTTGAGATTAACATTTCCTTTTTCCAGCAATTCCAGTCGTTTCTTATTATATTGTAAATTTTTATACCCGTTACTCGTAGAGTAAAAGGGTATACTAGATTCGTCGGAAAGTATGTAACAGGCAGAAGGAAGCGTTTCCGACCACATAAAGTATATATATTCTTGATCAGGATCACTAGCCGAGTCGATCTAGCCATGTCCGTCTGTCTGTCCGGATGAACGCTGAGATCTCGGAAACTATGGGAGCTAGGCTATTGAGATTTGGCGTGCAGATTCCTGAGCTTCTTAGGCAGCGCAAGTTTGTCTGAGTACAGTGCCACGCCCACTCTAACGCCCACAATCCGCCCAAAACTGTGGCTCCTACAGTTTTGATGCTAGAATAAAAATTTTAACTGAAATGTAATGTTCACATCAATACCTATCGATTGACCCAAAAAAAAGTTTGCCACGCCCACCCTAACGCCCATAAACCGCCCACAAACTTCAAAAAATCGTATATATGAACGTGGATATCTCGGAAACTATCAAAGATAGAGAATTGGGATTTCAAATTTAGATTCCGTAGCCTTATACGCAGCGCAAGTTTGTTACGCGAATGTGCCACGCCCACAAACCGCGAAAACCTGTGATGCCCACAATTTTTATGCTGAATAAAAAATTTTAACTGAAATGTATTGGTCTCGTCAATACCATAACGCTTAAATCTGTATACCGCCGATAGGTGGCGCATTTTTATCTCGCTTTGCTACTTGCATATCTCTATTTAGCTGAGTAACGGGTATCTGATAGTCGAGGTACTCGACTATAGCGTTCTTCCTTGTTTTTATTTAAAATAATTATTTTGTAACATGTTGTAACATGTCTATGGCATTGGCGGCAAGATTCCGCCCATTCTATGAAAACAAATTCATCACTAGAAGGAAACTTGGACGATTTTATGCCCGGGAAATCCCGCTTTGATTACTTACAATGTGTCAGGGATCATTTATTGCTGTTGGCCATTATTGTGGGATTTCATGTACAGGAAGCAATACCACAATAGGGCAAATCCGCAGAATAGTTGAAGTGCTAGAGGTGATGAGATACACCAGAGAATCCCAGTGGGAAGGAACATGCCGAGTGGGACTTCGCTCGATCTCCGACGAGGTCTCCATTGAGGAACCAATGGACTCCACCTCCACTAACTACTTGGCAGCTAAAGCGGAGATGGAGGACGCACCTTCTTCTATAGGGAGAAGGAAACAAGATCGCACGCTAATGGCCAGCTGGAGGAGCCATCACCAGCTATTACCGGGATGCTGGGTGACTGTATGCAGCATCAGGCAGAACAACCCCGTTCCCACTTCCTTAAAGTCCAATATGCATATTGGGATTCAGAGCTGGACTACAGATGGCGCGGGAAAGATACTTACTTTATACTACTAATTTACATAAATAAAACATTCCTTAAACATTCCATTTATATTTATGTTAATTTCTTTGTGCACCAGCAGACTCTTCTTTTTTTAATTGCTCCAGTTGATTTGTTTTCCGTTTGTCAACCCAGCTTCTTGACAGTTAGACCATGCTACATGCATTGCGGGTGAACTTTGAAAACTTCGGTCACTCTGCAAAGAATTAGATTTTTCGACTAGTGAAACTCTTAGCCGATCTGAGTACTAGGCTTAAAAGTCAAAAATAAATTGGAGAGCTGTAAGATGTGTACTCGTCGACAACCAACTGAAGAATGTGAGCTTGCACTTGGGTATAAACGTTTAAAAATCTGTAAAAAATCGATTTAGCAACGGATTGTCGTGATCAATGGCTCATATTCTCCGTTAAAGTTCAGCCTTCAAGAAGAAAACATAAAACTAATTTCGGTTTTTAGGCGTGTATATTTAAAAAAAAGCCATTTGTCCCAGCGTTTTTGCATTTTTTCCAACTTTTTCAACTTTGACGAAGTCTAGCTTGTAAACTAATGAATGGAACTCAATGGTCTGTATTGGAAAGTTAAAGGGCATTATTACCTGTAAAATGAGTCTTTGATGACCGGATTCGGTTTATCAGAACTCGAGTTAGAAAATAAAAAAGTGCGAAAAACTTTTTTTCACTTTAAAAACAAGTGGTACCATACAAAAAATGTTAAGTGCCCTTTTCTTAATCAGGGAGATGTACCTTACCGGAAAACCAAGTTCGCCTTCGTGGCGTATTTCGTCGATTTTTTTTTTAAACAGAATAGAAGAATATATAATACAAATTTAACTGTACACCTAAAAAACATGACTACTTCAGTTCTTCGTTTAAATTGATCAAATTAACTTGTTCAACTTCTAGTTCACAAAATTCAACAAAAAACAAGAAAGAACGCTATAGTCAAGTACCTCGACTATCAGATACCCGTTACTCAGCTAAAAGGCCCAATGGGAAATGGAGATATGCAAGCAGCAAAGTGAGATTGAAATGCGCCACCTACCAGCGGTAGACAGATTTATGCGTTATGTTCGTTAGAGTGGGCGTGGCAAATTTTTTTTTGGATCAATCGATAGGTATTGACGAGACCAATACATTTCATTGTATTGCGGCACAGGCTTGGGCGGCTTGTGGGCGTTAGAGCGGGCGTGGCATATTCGCGTAACAAACTTGCGCTGTGTACAAGGCTAGGAAATGTAAATCTGAGATCCCAATGCTCTACCTTTGATAGTTTCCGAGATCATATTTACGATTTTTTGAAGTTTGTGGGCGTTAGAGTGGGCGTGGCACTCTGCTGAAACAAACTTGCGCTGCGCAGGAATCTCAGGAATCTGCATGCCTAGTCCCAGAATTGTAGCTTTTATAGTTTCCGAGATCTCAGCGTTCATACGGACAGACGAACATGGATAGATCGACTCGGCTAGTGATCCCGATCAAGAATATATATACTTTATGGGCTCGGAAACGCTTCCTTCTGCCTGTTACATACTTTCCGACGAATATAGTATACCCTTTTACTCTACGAGTAACGGGTATAATTATCTCACAAACAAATTACGCGAATTCTTAAAAAAGTTAACGATAAGAGAAATCAAATACAATTATTTGGAATTTTTATACGTAACGTCACGTATGAGATTTGGCGAGTTCGTCACCTTACCCTACTCGTCACCTTGTTCTACACTCTCCTACCTATTTATGAATGTATAATAAAGCTGTATATATGTATAATTTGTATTTGATTTATCCCATATTTTGAAAGTGTTTTCGTATTTATAGGGTCTTAAACAAGAAAAAATAGATTCTAAAATGTAGAAAAATGTGTCATTTATTTTAAAAATATTTTTTTTTTAATAAAATTCTTAGGGCTTTTAGCCTTAAATTGTAGATATACTTCCTTGACTTTAGGGTTAATTTTATATTAAGTGTAGGAGCCACAGTTTTGGGTGGTTTGTCGAATGAATACATTTAAGATAGTGAATTTATTTTTAAGAATTTAAAACCATTTTTCATCACAATAATTGATTTTTTTACTATTGTACGCTGAAGTTGCGTCGTCACTTTTTTTTTAACCTCGTAAAGAGGTGATTTTGAATGATTTGTCAAAAAAGTTCCAAATTAAAAAAAAATTTTTTTTTATTTTTCGCCAAACTAGCGGGTTTTCCAAAAGTGATAAGTGTGGAGCTCAGGAATTAAAATTTTTTTTACATAATATAGTTGCATAGTTTCTTGCGCATTCAAACAAGTTGGAGTTTTGTCGCTTAAGAACTTCCAATCGGTAATTTATATTGCAAAAAGTGTTATGTATTTAAAGTTGAGGAATCTCAAGGGTTAATTTAGTTGAGATTTAAAAATTAAACGCTATAACTTTAAATCGCTTGTACTTAGCCAAATTAAGCTGCGTGACTAGAATATTGAGTTACCCTTTCCGCGCCAAGTAGCACGTATCTGCAGCATTAGTTTTTTAGAATCTACACTCAAAATAAAATTAACCAAAACAAGGAAGAACGCTATAGTCGAGTACCTCGACTATCAGATACCCGTTACTCAGCTAAATGGAGATATGCAAGCAGCAAAGCGAGATTAAAATGCGCCACCTACCGGCGGCGTTATGGGCGTTAGAGTGGGCGTGTCAAATTTTTTTTTGAATGAATCGATAGGTATCGACGAGACCAATACATTTCAGTTAAAATTTTTTATCTAGCATAAAAATTGTGGGCGTCACAGGCTTTTGCGGTTTGTGGGCGTTAAAGTGGGCGTGGCAAACTTTTTTTTGGGTCAATCGATAAGTATTGATGAGAACAATACATTTCAGTTAAAATTTTTATTCTAGCATCAAAAATGTAGGAGCCACAGTTTTGGGCGGTTTGTGGGCGTTGGAGTGGGCGTGGCACACTGCTGAAACAAACTTGCGCTGCGTAAGAAGCTCAGGAATCTGCACGCCAAATCTCAATAGCCTAGCTCCCAGTTTCCGAGATCTCAGCGTTCATCCGGACGGACAAACAGACGGACAGACGGACATGGCTAGATCGATTTGGCTAGTGATCCTGATCAAGAATATATATACTTTGTGGGGTCGGAAACGCTTCCTTCTGCCTGTTACATACTTTCCGACGAATCTAGTATACCCTTTTACTCTACGAGTAACGGGTATAAAAAGTCAAGGAAATCGCCCTATTATTGTCTTCAAGACAAGCTCGCAAGAAATTGAAAGGTAAGGATTTTCTAAAAATATTGTCGAAAAATTTTAAAATCCAGGGCTAAAAGCCATACTAATTATAAACCACTTTCTAAAGTATACGAAAATATTTCTTACATATAGGAAAATATTTATAAAATACAGGAAAACGATTCTTAAATATAAAAAAATATTTCTTAAATATACAAAAAAATTCTAAATAATATGGCTATTCTTCCTAGATTTTAGAAATAGTTTTCTCGAAATAAATAATTTTCTTTCTAAATTTGATGGCATTTATTTTCCAAAATCTAGGGCAGCAATCCCTTTAATATAGGCAGTATACTTAACTTCAAGTTCCCCGAAGATCCTCTTTTTCCTCTCTTGCTAGGGATGAGAACAGAGTGAATGACATCAAAGAGTAGGTCGTCCTTGGTATCTGTGAACAAAACATAATTTTGTGATATTAAAAAACACGCAAATATACGATTTTTATACCCGTTACTCGTAGAGTAAAAGGGTATACTAGATTCGTCGGAAAGTATGTAACAGGCAGAAGGAAGCGTTTCCGACCCCATAAAGTATATATATTCTTGATCAGGATCACTAGCCGAGTCAATCTAGCCATGTCCGTCTGTCCGTCTGTCCGTCTGTCTGTCCGGATGAACGCTGAGACCTCGGAAACTATGAGAGCTAGGCTATTGAGATTCGGCGAACAGATTCCTGAGCTTCTTACGCAGCGCAAGTTTGTTTCAGTAGACTGCCACGCCCACTCTAACGCCCACAAACCGCCCAAAACTGTAACTCCTACAGTTTTGATGCTAGATAGAAAATTTTAACTGAAATGTATTGTTCTCAACAATACCTATCGATTGACCTAAAAAAAAGTTTGCCACGCCCACTTAAACGCCCACAAACCGCGAAAACCTGTGACGCCCACAATTTGCATGCTAGATAAGAAATTTTAACTGAAATGTATTGGTGTCGTCAATACCTATCGATTGATCCAAAAATAAATTTTCCACGCCCACTCTAACGCCCATAACGCTTAAATCTGTCTACCGCCGGTAGGTGGCGCATTTTAATCTCGCTTTGCTGCTTGCATATCTCCATTTCCCTTTGAGTAACGGGTATCTGATAGTCGAGGTACTCGACTATAGCGTTCTTCCTTGTTTTGAAATGTCAAGCTTAGTTTTGCTTCTGTATATTTTCTATGCTTCGAAAGTTTAAAAATGTATTGTCTAATTTCGTAAATAGTATTTCTTAATAATATCTGCTTATAACATTTGAAACACCTGTATTAAATTACTCAATACTTTGATAACACTGTGTTAGTTTATAACTCCATTAAAATTTATTATTTTGAGTATGTGGGAGTAGAAGAAAAAGAGATACACTTTTAAAATGTTTTGACTGCATATCAAAACAAGAATCCGTTCGCTCATAGAATAGATTTAAAGTTGGTTTAAAATCAGATTGAATTGGTAATTCGAATCGAAAACAAGGAAGAACGCTATAGTCGAGTACCTCGACTATCAGATACCCGTTACTCAGCTAATGGGACCAAAGGGAAATGGAGATAAGCAAGCAGCAAAGCGAGATTGAAATGCGCCACCTACCGGCGGTAGACAGATTTAAGCGATATGGGCGTTAGAGTGGGCGTGGCCAATTTTTTTTGGGATCAATCGATAGGTATTAACGAGACCAATACATTTCAGTTAAAATTTTAATTCTAGGATCAAAACTGTAGGAGCCACAGTTTTGGGCGGTTTGTGGGCGTTAGAGTGGGCGTGGCACTCTTCTGAAACAAACTTGCGCTGCGCAGGAATCTCAGGAATCTGCATGCCTAATCCCAGTATTGTAGCTTGTATAGTTTCCGAGATCTCAGCGTTCATACGGGCAGACGGACATGGCTAGATCGACTCGGCTAGTGATCCTGATCAAGAATATATATACTTTATGGGGTTGGAAACGCTTCCTTCTGCCTGTTACATACTTTCCGACCAATCTAGTATTCCCTTTTACTCTACGAGTAACGGGTATAACAATTTTAAGGTATCCATCGAGGTAAATAAGTAAACTGTTTATTTAGTAACACAGTGTAATTAACAACAAGAGATTGAATTATGAAATTTTGGTGTAAAACACTGAATTCCCATACGATTTTAAGGCTTAAAGAATACTTTAAATTTAACATGCGGACTAGAAAACGACACTAAATATATTTTCTCGTAAAGTAAAAGTTTGCTTAGTATTGTAAAGTTTTTTGTTTTCTTACCTTCGCTTTGATTAGAGAATGTTTTGATTAAATTTATACTCTGACAAAAATAAAAAGAGACCGTTTTAAATTTTTAAATAATTGTGCTAAGTGTAGCAGTCGTCGACCGGAAATTATAACGCTACTCAAATGTAAGAGCCCACTTTTCATCAACTTCGTTTCGTGGTTCTATATTGAACACCCTCGTACAGATCAGTTGGATTCGGGCAAGTATTTTTCACGTTGAAGTGCCGCTGAATTGAACAGCAGACTGCTTTTTTGCCTTGGCTTTTAAATTATAGATTTTACTGTATCAAATACCTCCTGGTTGCTTGCCAACAATTTTTATGAAATATGTGTTCTATAAAAATATTTAAAATTAATATTGGTGTTAAATAAATAAATGTAATATAAATGTTAAAATTCTTCTGAACTTGATTTGAAAAAATTTAGTTTCAACTGCTCAATACCTACATGCATAGACAATCTGCAGAAGATAGATCGGCGCCAGAAATCTTAACGGTAGTCGCACAATGTTGCATTCCACTTGACTTTAAACAGCTGTACGCAAACTTTTTAACGTACACTTTTTCGTAGTGTTAAGTTTAAAATTAAAAATAAGATACAACCCCCTGTTAAATATTTCTGGAAAGAAAACGTCATTAAAGACAATTTCGTTAAAAAAAAGAATGAATAAAATTAATGCATAAATGACCGAACAATTAATGTTCAAAGTTTGATTTTGAAATTGTTTGGAGGTGTACGCAGAGATTTGCGAGTAAGTGTACATACCCTTCAGTTCCAAAAAAAAAGTTTCACTTGTGAATCACCTTGGGAATCACCTGGGACATGTCCTCGTGCACAAGTGAAGAACAAGTGACGCTCCCCTTCAGTTCTGCAGTAGGGACGCGGTGACATGGCTCAAGGCAAAAAGCTTTTTTTGTGCCTAAAACGCTGTGCCGCTGTTGACGTCAGCAGAGCAGTCGGCGCAGCGTAGAAGACTGCCCACGAAAACGATCGTGCAACAAAGAGAGGCAGATATTCGGATATTTCCCTCTCTTTCTTGTCTTATAATCTGCCTGCACTCCGCGCTCGCAGAGACAAATTTCGGCTGGTCCGTTATTTTTTTTTGCGTCTCTCCGTTATGTTCGGCTAGCGACTAATATTTCGGCGGAAAAATTTTCGTGGAGAAGCGACATGTTAATGCCCTAATATTTTAGGAGCATTATTGTGTATCGAAAAAAACAACTAATATTGTTTTATAAAAGTAAACTATTTTATTATAGTAAAATTTAGTAAATTGAATTTACTTATAATGTTATATTTACTTATTATACATTCTTATTACAATATAATTTTATAGTTAAGTTATAGAAATTTAGTCCGTTAAAATTGATTTAAGTATTTAAAACATTTAAGTATTAACATTAAAAAAAAAATCGTATTGTATTTTTTACTCAAGAAGTAAAAACTATATAGTCGGATATATTTTCGTTTAGAAAGGGTATAGGTGCAGTGGCACGCGCCAACAGCGAAGAGAAAACATAAGAAATCTAGTAAAGGGGTGAGAAGACTTGGTGCATTCTGTTTGAGTGATTGAGAGGGAAGCATCCATTTTAATGGTGCGTAGCAGAGTTACTTTAATCGTTTAGTTAATATAATAAAGCCAGGTAAGTGCTACATTAAGTTTAAGATGTTGTGCATTGATCTTAGTTTAAAGTACGTAAATTTTGAAGGTATTCAATGGGTTCCGTTAGCCGAAAGTGGATGACGAAATGTTTTGTGCCAATAAAAATTCTGCAACAAGCTATAAAAGGTAAATATACATTAAACAAATAAAACGCATTTTTTAAACAAATGTTTTTTCAGGAGCGTTGGCCAAGGATTTAGAGGACCCGGACAAAGGTTTAAGAACGGCGATGTCTAACGTTAAAAATAAGCTTACGAAGCAAAAAAACAGAAACAATAATTGTACAATTTTTGAAAATCTAAATAGTACCATATAATTAAAATGAATTAAAATGAAATGAATTAAATTCTATATTTTTTTAATTGAAAACTCAAGGAAAAATTCTGATTTTCACAAGTGATTCACTTGGGACGTGTCCCTTGCAAGTGATTTCACAAGTGAAAACTCAAGGAAAAATTCTGATTTTCCCAAGTGATTCACTTGGTACGAGTCACCGGCACGTGACAGGCCATACGAAAAATGAGTATAAGGAACAAGTGAAATCCCGTAGGACTTCGAAAAATTTTCATTTGAATTTTCACTTGTGAAAATGCGGACATCCCATACAATTTTCTATATGGAGCGTCACTTGTTCTTCACTTGTGCAAGAGGACATGTCCCACGGGATTCACAAGGTGATTCACAAGTGAAACTTTTTTTTTGAACTGAAGGGTCCATATAGAAAATTGTATGGGATGTCCGCATTTTCACAAGTGAAAATTCAAATGAACATTTTTCGAAGTCCTACGGGATTTCACTTGTTCCTTATACTCATTTTTCATATGGCCTGTCACGTGCCGGTGACTCGTCCCAAGTGAATCACTTGGGAAAATCAGAATTTTTCCTTGAGTTTTCACTTGTGAAATCACTTGCAAGGGACACGTCCCAAGTGAATCACTTGGGAAAATCAGAATTTTTCCTTGAGTTTTCAATTATAAAAAAATAGAATTTAAAATACATACATATTTAATTTCATTTTAATTATTTTTAATTATACAGTATTATTAAGATTTTCAAAAATTGTACAGTTATTATTCCTGTGTTTTTGCTTGGTAAGTTTATTTTTAACATTAGTCATTGCCTTTCTTAAAGATTTGTCCGGGTCCTCGGAGTCCTTGGCCAACGCTCCTGAAAAATGTAATGCATATGTTTAGAAATGCGTTCTACTTTTTTATTTGTATATTTACCTTTTAGAGCTGTGTTTCACCCTTTGCAGGATTTTTATTGGCGCAAAACATTTCATCATCCACTTTCGGCTAACGGAACCCATTGAATACCTTTATACTTTAAACTAAGATCGATGCACAACATCTTCAACTTAATGTAACACTTACCTGACTTTTTTATTTTCACTTTAAAAAACGAAAGAAGTAAATCTGCTGCGCACAATTTAAATGGCTTGCTTCCCTTTCAATAACTCAAACAGAATGAACCAAGTCTTCCTCTCACCCCTTTATTTATTTTCTTTTGTTTTCTCTTCGCAGTTGGCGCGTGCCACTGCACCTATACCCTTTCTAAAGCGAAAAATATCAGACTACATAATTTTTACTTTTTTGAGTAAAAAATACAAAATGAATTCTTTAAAAATGGTACTATTAAAATGTTTTAAATATTTAAATAAATTTTAACGAACTAAATTTCTATAATTTAACTAAAAAAGTATATTGTAATATTAATGTATAATACGTAAGCATAACATTAAAAGTAAATTAAATTTACTATAATCAAATAATTTACTTTTATAAAACAATATTAGTTGTTTTTTTTTCGATATACAATAATGCTCCTAAAATATTAGGGCATTCACATGTCGCTGTGCCACGAAAATTTTTCCGCATTAGTCGCTAGCCGAACATAAAGGAGAGACTCAAAAGAAATAACGGACCTGCCGAAATTTGTCTCTGAGAGCGCCGAGTGCAGGCAGATTATAAGACAAAGAAAGAGAGGGAAGCTCCGAATATCTGTCTCTCTTTGTTGCACGATCGTCTTCGTAGACAGTCTTCTACACTGCGCCGACTTCGCTGCTGACGTCAACAGCGGCACAGCGTTTTAGGCACAAAAAAAACAAAAAAGCTTTTTGCCTTGAGCCATGTCACCGCGTCCCTACTGCAGAACTGAAGGGTATTTTCTCACTCGGCGTTTCCAATTTTGCAGCTCGGAAAAGAACTACCGCTTGCCCTACTAATTCCTTCGAAATTTCCATCCTAAATTGCTCCCTGCTTAACGATCTTAAGCTTTCTTCTCCAAAATTCAGATATAGCATGCGTTCATAATTAATACTAAGTTTGTATTTTTAGTTAAATTAAACTACTTAACCGAGAATATAGAAGCTAACGCTTCTCAGTTTAGACTTTGGAGCTAAGTATCCATAAGATCGATTTCACTTGTAATCGGTAACACTTTTAAGAACTGCGAAATGAAAAAAAAACATGCGGTTTAAGTCTTAGAGATGGACCAAAGCTACGTTCGCGACCATACTTGTTATCGTAAGTTATTGATAGCACTATCGATATTTTTTCTTCCTCACGTTTGGCTTTCCTCAGATATCGCCAGCGAGTAATAACAATGAAATAAATGCAATAATAAGCACAGCATAAACAAATACACTGTAGTCCCATTCATCAGTAATCATTAAACATTATACATATGTATATTCCTAGACTTAATTTAAATATTGTGGAATTGGGCAAAGACCGTGAGTGTTATCGATAAGTTGCCGCTCATCTCTCCCACCCCTTTGAACTTAATTTCGTAAACAAAAAAATTCTGAAACTAACAGGAGTATTCATTTGGCCATTCCTAGGTTTATTACCTTATATGCATGTGTACATATGTATAACAGTCGCAAGTAACAGAATACAAGTTCCAATAAAATTGTGGTGATGCTCACGCAACATATAATGTTAATATTAAGAATTAACACGTGTTCCTATTATTTAGAAAGTATTTCTATTTTTAGAAAACGTTTATATTTTCTAGAAATAATTTCTATTTTTGATTGAAATTTGTCTATTTTTTTTGGGTAAGAATCATTTTAGGGCTTGAGTATAATTTTAGGTTATTCATTTTTATAAAAGGAACTGCAAAACAATTTTATTTTTGTGACAGACTTTCTATTTTTTATAAAATAATTTCTTTATTTAAATCCATTTTTTCTTATTTTTAGGGTGATTTTAGTTCATGGTAACCATTCAAACCTACTTTTAAAAAAAGCTTTCATTATTTAAGAAAAACTATTTTGATTTAAAAAAATGTCCCTAGCTTTAGAAATAACTTTCTTGTATTTAAAGAAAAGAATTTTTAATGGCGATTTTCTAAAATGTAGGGTAAAATTTATTTTGACTGTATAAGCCTTAAAGATCTGTGTCATTCCTTGGACTTTCCGCCAAACTATCGGATTTTTCAAAAGTCGTAAAAAAAGATTTATATCTCGAGCTTCTTAGTACACCAATTAAGTTTCCTTATTTTTCCGATCGTTCATATGGCGGCTAAATAACATGACTGTTCGACCCGGCTCGTTTCGTCTCCTTCACTGCATTGCAAACTTTTGACTGATATCGTAATACCTTCTGAAAGGGTATACATATAAATAGGTTCTGTTTAGAAGGCTGTCAAGTGGGCGACCAGTGATTATTTGTTCCGTTCAGTTCTGGCCTTCTGAGGGCATGTGTGCGTGTATGTAACTCATTCATAAAGTACACAAGACTCGGGAAGGAGAGGGACCCGCCAGAATCACGTAGCAGACGTTGACGGCCAAAAGCAGAAGCACGTGCCACTTTTCCCGCCCATCGCAGCGAGCAGAAACAGCAGCATTTCCACGCTAAATTTCCCAAACAAAACCATGAAAATTTCCCACTGTTCAGCACAAGAGAGCGGTTCGCGAATGGAGCGCCGAAGAGAGCAAATTGAGATGATGCCGACTACGAAGTCGCTGCTGCTGTTTTCCACTTGCTTTTCTGACTCAATGGACCAGTTCGGAAAATTCACACAATCAGTTTGTTTTGAAATTTTGCCGCGATGCGTTCGTTCCAAAGCGCTCTCCTCAACTAAAAGTACTCGAGCAGAATAAATAGTTTCATTAATTAAATGTGAAATAACAAAACTTTAGGTGTCACCGAAAAAAAAAGAAATACAGAAATCAATCGTAAAATATAGCATACAATATAAGTAAAATACTCGAATGTACAAAAACTTAAGAATTACATTTGGCGTTGCAGAACGATTGCAATATGCGGGCTTAGGTTGAAGTTATTATTGCAAAAGCAATATGCAGTTGTAGCTTATTAAAAGTTAAAAATGTGGAGTAATGAGTAAAACCACTGAGTGTGTTAATGAAAATCATGAAAAAATAGTACGTGTTAATAATGAAAAACTAATATTGTTGTGCACCACATGGATTTAGAAACTCACAAAAATCTGTAGATCTAGAACAAGTAAGTAAGACGGATGAATGTCTGTTACAAATGATTATTATTAGTATAAATGTTTTATTCATAGTAGATACTATGGCCATAGAATTTAATTTTTTAAGGTAAATGTATTGGTCAGTTTATTTAATGAAGACAACAATGCGTAAGTTAAGTGCAAGGAAAACAGAACTCTTAACAAAGAAAATGTAATTTTTAAAAATGTTTAAAAGCGATTTATGTATTTTGCGTGGTGTAAGGCTGAGTAAATTAGGTCCACCGAAAGAAAGGGGAAACGGAAACCGTAGCAAAGCGTACAAGCATACTTCGGGCTAAGCATAAAAATGTAAAAGACATAGCACTGATTACGTAATTAAAAATGTATTTTTTCAATTCTCTTGACTCCCTCTTTAAACCTCATCGAAAAGCAAACAGTATTAAAATGTAGAACACGCAAACCTAAGGAATCTAAGGGCAGTCAGGAAAAAGGAACGTAAAGTCAGACACCCCAACCCCTTCCTGTTTCTCACTCTTTTTACCTACTTTCAGGGACCCAACCCCACTCGCACATGATTACTCACATGTCAGCAGAAAAAGAAGATTTATTACCAAGAAACCTAAAACCAAATGTTGGCCGTTTCTCTTTATTTTGGTTACCTTTTGTTTTTACCTTTCAACTACCTTTTTCATTTGACCCATTCTGAGGACTTGGGTCTCCTGTCGGGAAATTAAACTATTAAGCTTTTTGCCACTGCTGCTCCTGATGTGCGTAAATTTTTAATGAGACATAAAGGACGCGCTGCAAATATGCCGGCCTCAGGCCCAGATCCTGCTATCAGACCAGCTGTCATTAAGACGGAGCGAAAGTCATCTTCCGTGCGGTTCGCAGATAAATTCACAAGATAAGTGGACCGGCCGTAAAAGTTTAGTGGACCGAACAAACGTAAACTGCCGCTGATTACCTGGAGGTAATTTGGTTCTTTGTCGCTCTTCTGCCACCAAGGTGTTTAAGCCGCATTCGAGGGCCTGTCAGCAACAGGCACAGAGGTTATGATGCCTCTGGCTCAACTGTTAGCCATTAACTTTGCTGTGGAAAGTGTGCAGGGATTCAGAAGGGATGGCATAAAAATCAAGACCTTTGGCAAAGTCTATGGCTAACCGCAAATCAAAATGCGCTGTTACTTATTAAATATGGGTAATTTAATTTCGTAATAAAATTGGAATGCATTTTTACGTTTCGTCCCTTTAATCTGTCCCATAAAAACACTTTTCTGATCTCCTATTGTTTATTACAGCTTGTGGTTTTAATTCGGTCGATGTTATGTACATCCATTGAGTTTATTTTCGTACCATGTTTCTCTAAAGATCTATTTTATTCAAAAACAGCAGGCAATGTACAAAAGCATTTAATATTGATGAGAAATCCGGATCTCTCATATGGCAATTGATCAGCGCCCTTACTAGATACATACGTAAAAAAACTCAATCAACACAGTCTTTATTTTGTTCGGACACCAAATAGCTTAAATATTTTGACCACTCCATCATTGTCTTCATGCTTTATTTAGTATTAGCATATATCTTTCCCGGGGCTGATACCGATTTCTATTTTTTTGCTCATGTAGATTTATAGATTTTCTGCAAACACTTTAAATTCAATCAGCTTTCCATTTGTCTTATAAACTAACTAAATCTTACTTTCGGACTGTAAAAAATGAATACATTATAATCTCATACAAGTACACAATTTCTTGCTAAGATATCACCTGCCTTGGAGATTTAAGCTTTTTCGACTCTTTAAAGCAGTGGTCGGCACACACATACCATCACAAGTTTGCCTTGCATTAGTGTGAGTGTAACAAACACGAAGTTTGCGCGCGGCGTGCTGAAGCGAGACGTTTCTCTGCTTTGCACTGAGATCCTCTGCCGCAGCAACAAAAAGCGAGCCGAAGTTGAGAAAAAAATTACCCGAAGACCCATGCCGAAGTCACACAAACATGTACGTTATACGTGAGCGAGCAGAGGATGGGCAGAACACTTCCCTATGCTCACTAGATAGGCCGCTGCCGACCACTGCTTTAAAGCATTGGATGGCGTATACCAGCCGATGGTCTGCAATCACATCATCCTCAATAGTTTATTCCCTTGAAAATTTGTTTAATGTTAAAAATGTGTGCTTGGTCCGCCATTCGAAATACCTAAAACAAGAAGATTTTTGGCGCTGGTAATTAATCGTTTTGCCCGTTGACTTTGAGCAATTGATGAAACATTCCTATGCCAAATTGGCATTCGGAAAATCTCTCCTTCCTTTCTGCCAAATCATTTAATTGGCTGCTGTGTAAATTGCTCACGAGCAATCGAGTATCAACAATCAATAAATATTATTCAGTTAGTGCGACCTCTCAGCCATTTCGCATGATTTGTCATTTTCCAGCACCCATACATTCAGCATCCTCGTTGAGCTCATTTTGCATATATTTAAATTCATTTCCCATTACAATTTACTGTGCTTCCGCTTGACCATCACAAATTTATTTCATTTTATTTATCTTTTAGCCCGTATAAATTTGTTGTTGGATCTGTGCAAATATGCAAAATGATTGACAGCACAATTACGATGCCGCAAACGAGTGTTAGTTGAGGTGAGGAGGGGCTAATGACAGGGGCACGTGCCAGAAGCTGCAACCTTATATGGTTGCCACAGTTACAATTTCGTTCTTATTCAGCAGAAAAACAATGAACTTCGCAGAACACGTGGTGCAGTGGGCAAAGGTGGTAAAAATATTTTACAACTTGCTTACATTTTAACCCAGTCAGCTAGTCAAGTCGATCGAGCTTCGAACTTCCATCTGCCAAGTTGAATATTCGAGTTACAGGGTCTTAAAGTTAGAGGAAACACATTTTTTTCCTGTTCATTATTTTAAGTTTATTCTTTAAAAAGCATGTAGGGGAAAGGGGGCAGATATAGTTAACGGTCAAGAATAGTTTTTGACCCTAGCGGCTAAACGGCTAACTTAGACACATTAAAACTCTAAGAGACGACACTAAAAATTTAAGATTTGAACGCCATTAATTGAAGAATTAGGAATTAATTGGACATTGGTCGCTCACGAGATTTTTAATGTAATTTTTTCTGAAGCGAAATCTTGTGTTAAACGAGTAATCGTTTTTTCATTTTTTTTAAATTCTCTACTTTTTGTGATATTTTAAAACACTCAAAACACTCCTTGTGGGGCATGGATAATTGAAGGTAATATTTGATATATATTTGTTTAACTATATATAGTTTTCATGGTGCTAGTGATGCTGCCAGTCGAGATTGCACTTCTCAACGAGAACTCAATGACCCAATTTGTATTAATATATTAAAAGTTGACGCCGCTTTGCAGATCCGAATATATGACAAAGAGTGTCCTAATTAACAACTTAGTCGACATCGGAGGTATCCTATATGAGAAATTTTATGACGTATGTTAAATATGAAATCAAAACATCGTGTAAAAATAAATGCAACAAGTAAAATTTGGCATGAATTTAAAAAAAATCTAAGCCTTCTTTGTTTGTGTCTCAAGCTTAGATCTTAGTGACCCACTTTACGAGCACTACGAGATAATCCAAATCGTTACATTCGTATACATTTTTTTGACCAAAATGATAAACAGTTCGACTAAACAAATCGACACTCAGCATGTTGAATACTTGTACAGCCAAAATGCTTTAATCTGACAGCTGGCCGACTAAAAAAAGTTAGGAAATTAAGTTTTTTGTTGGTCGAATGCATTTGAGTCGTATTAATTACAAAAAAGATAGAAAGAACGGTTTAGGGAAGAAACCAAAGGTAAGGCTTCGCATTTGAGGTCAAATATTTCAAATTATCTGTCACTCCATAAAGGAGCAATAAATATAAACTGAAAAGTCGAAGCGAGCTCTCAGAAAATATTACAAAATGGGTGCCAGCAACAGCAAGCCGCAGACTGTGCAGATGGCAAATCCTATGCCCTTTGAGATTACTCGGGATGTGGTGCATAGGATCGATCAGGCCACCACCAAATCCACTAAACAGGGGACTACCATCTGCGAAAAATGCAGTCAAGGGCCCACAGCAGAAGCGCGTTCCGATTCTCCCACTACCATGGAACACAAACCAAATGAAGTGCAGGATATGCATCCTGTAAAAGTAGCCAAGTCCTGGAAAAGGCGCTCCCATGAGGTTGAGGAAACTGAGTTCGGAAAGTCCTTGCAGCGAGTTCAGGACCTCTTTGGAAGGCCCGTAAAATGGGCCAAGGACTGTGAAGGCGAGATCGGAAAGTTCGAGGAGGAACTGATACACTGCTATCAACGGTATCCCAACGAACCTCTGCAGTGCTCAAATTTGGCCAAACAGTATCATCGCTTCGTGTTTTCCAGGCAGACCGATGAAATTTCCAAACAGAGGAGTCCCACTGGCTCCGCTGTTCCCAAGTCACCGTCGACTACTAGGAAAGCTGGCAAGAATAGTAAACCTACCTAAAATACTTTGTTAATTCCCACAAAGAGTCTCTAGCCACACAGTTCAATCAATTTCCATTACTTTCCCTTTCTCAGGAACCACAAGGCTAGAGTTCTCAATTTAATCTAACTGACGGAACCTTAAATAAAATAAAATGGTATTTAGTCAACACAATTCAACTAAAACTAGTTGTTGAAGCGTTTTATTTGGCTTATTTTGTTCTTTTATTAGCCTTGGCTGATTGCCAGCAAACAAAAGTCGTCAAACAAATGAATGACAACATGAAAAGCAGGAAAGCCAGCAAGTGGAATATGCATACGCAAAAAACAAACACGCAATGCTCCTTCACCCGCCCACCTGCTCATCCTCCAAACTACTATGCACAACGTGGCGTATACGCGATGTGTCGCTCGCAGCTTTTCATACCTTCCCGTATTCCATTATAAACGCATCGCAGGTGAAATGCTCTGCTAAGTGAGTGCCCAGAATGAGAATGGAAGCAGGGTGGCTCTGGGCAGGTAGGTCTTTTAAGGTGGAG